GAAAAAGAATGGGAATATATTTCCAATCAAAAGCCAGTCTTGGGAATTTATTGCAAATAATTTCCAATGATATTCCAATAATGGGAAAAGAATGGGAATGGATTAAATATATCCAGTCAAAAACCAGTCTTACATATTGCTTAAGTTTCAGAGTTGACCATTTCAATAAGACTACACAGAATGCAGTATTTAGTATTCAACCTTTTGTATAACTTACAGCTACTAACAGTATATTATTCTTACAACATGTCTTTTTCCCATTGAGAGGGGGTCTTCCATTTGCCCTTTGCAATTCCAATCAACGAAGCCCAGGGGATAACATTTTTCGCATATCTTCCATGTGTTTCTCTGATATAGATATTTCTCAYCTTGGAATGTTCCACAAAGAAGAAAACATCTACTGTTTTCTTTCTATAATCAACATTAGAAGCGTGACCATACCAAATGTCATCAGAGGCTGCACCTTGAATGAGCAACATGTCACCCTTTTCTGGTAAAACTGGCACTATGACATCAAAAGGAAGCTTTTCTTGATGCCTTTGATAGTCAACGACAGTGTATCTTTCTCCACATTTATACAGGATCACTTTTCGTTTGATAGCACTCACATCATAAAAAGCTGGTTCCCTTCCAGGTGTTTCATTGACACAAGTAAACCCAGTCCAAAAATGCCTTTGGCGTACACCATCAGTGCAAAATGGATACACTTTAACTATCAAGTGGTATGACTCATCACTCTTGAATTTCATTGACATAAATATGTCAAGTTTTACCACTTGCTCTTGTTGGTTGACAACAATCACAGCTGTTTCTCCAGATTTAAAAACAGTGCCTTGAAAGCTCTTAATGTCTGATATGAAGCATTTCTTTGATGTATAAGCAACTTGACCTACATCACATAAAGACACTGAGAAAGAATTTGCCAAGTGCCTTCTAGCTTCTTCTTCAATGAATAAGATGTTGTTGGATGCACCAAGAAGCAGGGATGTTCTCATGGTGTCATTCTTTTGGATGGAAACTTTTGCTGTTTCCACGGAACTGGCTATTCCCTAAAATAGTTGAATATGCCAAACATTAAGTGAAATTATAATGAAAGCATATTTTAGCAAGGAACTGGTGGTTATTACTAGATATAATCCCTCAAAATGACCTTATTGATAATTTATGTGTCCTTTTTGAAGTGTTTCTCATCATGAAGCACAGTTTAAGTGCATTTTGAAGTTTGGTATCTAGTGATACCCATCATTTTCTTTTTCTGATAATGTAATTTCTTATGACTTGATATCTTTAAATCTCATTTATTAAAGTAAATTCTGTTTTACAGACAATAATGTATGTCAGCAGTGTCACATTTGACTATAAAATGATCACTGGTCATGAAATGCATAAATGAAATTGAAAGCTGCAACCAAACATCCAGATCTAATAAATGCTTAATTAACAAATCAAACGCGCGTCCAGACAACTTTCAGTTTGCTTTGTGAAATTTCTGATAGAATTATCAAGAGAGTAGTTTGGCTTACCAAATTTATATCAATCTTCCCAAGCTTTTCTTTATTTTCAGCGTATGGTTTTAAATATTCTCTTCTTGATTCAGCAAAAGCAAAAGTTTTCTCTATCCCTTTACAATTGCTAGCCCTCTTTTTGTAGCCTTTCACAGCTCTTTCGAAAACTGCACACCAGTAATTGTCTGTTCCTGAAAATCGTCTGACATCTTCATGAATATGGATAAGATTATGCATGGAAATGGTACACATTTTAAGTCCTTGAACTTCTTCGACCAATATGTTTAAGCGCCACGACAGCTTGTGGTGTTCCTCAATCATGGTATCAGTCCAACCATATCGGCCACTGTTGAAGTGCATCTCAGTTATTCTTGATATTAAATGCTGGATTTCTTTCTCTTGGGGATCCTCAACCATATTGYCAAGAATACAATCAGCCAAAGGAAATGAGAACTTTTGTAACCCCTCAGCCTTCCAGTGTCCCAAAGATCCATTGTAGTTTTTAATAGACAGTGGAAGCCTTCCACTTTTCAACTCTGTTGGCCATGGAAATTTTTCAAGTTCATTATTGAAACATGCTTTATCCACTAGATTTTGATCTAGTAACCGTTCAGTTTGACTTTTAACCACATTAAGACAAACTGTATGGAACACATCAAATGTCAAATCTTGAAGGATATCAAAACCATAAAGTGGATACAAATATTTGTGCAAAAGACTAATCCCAGTTACCCCTTTATGAGATGACAATTTTTTTCTCACACTTATTCTTGTCTCAGCCTCAACATCCTTAAGGTCTGTTAGCATCTCTGAAATTTTGCGTGATTCCCATCCATGCCTATAATGCGAACGGTTGTCACCATAGTACATATGATAATTAGCACTATTTTCTGGTAGATGCTGACCAATTAATTGACATCTTCGACATGGGCACTTTCCTTGGTTCAGTAATTTGCCAATCTCACATTGCCCTGGATGGTCACCTGACCAACAAAGGAGTAAAACACGAACAGTTAGGGATTCTTTTTGTTGAGAATCATTGGATGAGTTGTCAATCCTAAAGCCATGTATAATTCCTTGGCAAATGTCTTTCATCAGTGGTTCAAGAAAAGGGTCATAAGTTTCAGGTAGCTTTGGCACAAATGATAATGGTACGAATCCCAGCACATAAACCTCATCTGTATGGTTTCTGTCTTCTTTTTTTAAGTTTGCAATAGTAACTTCTAGTGATCCACAATTTCTTGAGCTTGAACCTTGGAATGATTGCCACCCATCCCAATGTCCTATAAGGGCAATATTGAATGGGGAACCAGTAGCTTGTTTTAGAGTGTGTTCAAAAGATTCCAAACATTCAGGGCATTCCACAATTTTAACACCTTGCAATGGCCCATCCTCTGATTTGATTAGGTGATCTGCTGATATTGGGATGCCACAGTATTTGCAGCAGCATGGTATAACCCAAGTATTATTTGGGTTCCAAAACCACTGAAGCTCACGCCATCGTTCACCATCCCATATTTCCTTTTTTACTGGCCAACTTTCATCTCTTCCAAGCCAATGACTTCTTTCTATCCAGTGAGACAGCATTTTCTGGCTCAAATTCTTATCTCTGTACCAGTTTTTAACTTTATTTTCAAGTCCAAGGTAGTAGTATGTTATAAATCCTGGTTTACCACAATTATGGCAAAGGTCGTTTTTGTTTTCCATGAYGCTGTATTTTCCAGTATATTTTATTTTACTCGACCCTTGAATTTCATAATGACAAAAGCAAATAAAGTATTCTTTTGCATCTGAGTAGCCAACCTCCTTTAATAGCGCTTGAACGTCACTCCATGTTTTAGGCCATAGTGATGCTAAAACATCWGGATCATAAATCTCTTTGTTTAAAGATCTAGATTCCAACAAGAGCTTTTTACCATAGTCTAAAATGTCATTGAAAGTATTGATAGACAAACCAGCATCTTTCTGAATTTTAAGTGCATTCAAAACTGCATTGATTATTAGTTCCTTAACAGGATTAACATTGCTTGTTTGGCCAGTATTTACATCCATATTTATGTCAACATTTGTATCATTCAGCTCACTAGCACATTGATGGCTATGGTCTAATGATTCTGCTACAAAATCCTGACTGTCAATTTCCATATCATCATAATCACGACAACCAGCTTCGAATTCACCGTTCTCAATGGAATCACTGCTAAAACCATTAGAACCGGATTGAGATGTCAAATTAGCCTCCTTCCAATGGCGCATTTCAGTACTTCTGCTTGTTGCTCGGCCATTGCAATTTGTACATGGACAATGGACATGGCRGTAATTCTTTGCTTTGCAATTACATGTTGCAACCTCACTTCTTGTCCATTTGTGCATATTTTCTTCCTGATAAATTCTAAGAATTACAGATACTAATAAAAATATAAGGATAATAAATGTACTTTTTGAAAGCTTCATTGCAAAATTCCCGCGCTTTTATAATAAAATGAGCCCACAAATTTTAGTGTCAGCGGCAACTTCAAGTGGCGGGAACTTTTGACCAATCCCTGTTGAGTTTATATACTGTTCTTCTTTGAACCAATAAGAAAGCACGTACTGCCTGTGATTGCAAACCATGCTTTCAGTCGCTTACAGTCTTCACAGAAAYGGCAAGATCGAAGTGGTGTGTAGGTTTATATAAATCGTTCAGCTATAGTTTAGTTATGGAATCGAAAACCATGGAAGAACAATTAAGCTGCAATCAAAACGGTGAAGAATCGATACTAACGAAAATTAGAGAGCTTTTTGGCGATGAAATCGCCCAAGCTTTTAAAGGTAAGTTTAAGTTGATCAACTTTCCGCCAAAACACGTTTTGTTCGACAAGATTTTAGTATAAAATAACTCTTTTTAGCATAACTTTTTATGATATTTTATCCTCTTTCACAGTAAGTTACATTTTACACCACAAAGAAAAGCAAATCGTAGTTTTATTCTAGGTAGTTCTTCTTCGACTTAGTGCAAGCATTGTTCAGTCGCCCGCCGCCATTTTTTTCATGTGTTCATTTCGTCTACGTCTAAAGCGTRGATGTGTCTTTCATGATTATTTCAACTATGAAGACATTTCTTTGGTGTGTTTATACAAGTAATGGAAGTTAGAAGTTTATATGAAGACATACTACATCTACCTCTGGACTACGATCAAACTTCTGATCCGCTGTTTTTTAGTAATGCGGAGTTCAAAAACCTTACTAATTACAGAAACATAGGAAGTATGCACATAATGAACTTTAAAAGTGAATTGGGATCGAGTCTTTTCAGGCATTGATAAGTAAATGATTCTTTTTTAGATGAAGACATAATAGATCAAGACACGCTAGGGGAATTGCTTGTGATGGATAGCGAAGCCGAAATCTTCAAGAAACTAAACTTGAATTTTGGTAAAGTCATCAAACTAAAAAATCACTTCAAAAGCCTTCTTGAAAGAAAGAAGCTTGAATCAAAAAAGAGAATCTCACATGTGCAAACTAAATCAAAGCCTACCATGGCATCATTGGAATCAAATCCTGATATAAAGGCCATCTATCTCAAGAAGTGAGTATAATCTAGGTTGTAATTTGTAAATAATCTGTTATCCTTGATTATTTCTTAATATATATATGATAATAGTTACAGGTTCTTTCTAATTACTATGCCCAAGCTCCCRACAATATGAACTTAACCTTGGTTGGCTGAGGTATGGATTTTAACAATAATTTTGTGTTATTCTATTTAAGCCGAAAAAGAATTGGTCAACTTGCGTGTAAGCGATGGAGTGGAAGCTATCCCAAATTTAATAATCCAAATGCCCGCAATGACCTGGAAGAATTTGCTAAGGAAATTGCCCCAGAGGTGGCTGTTCCACAGGTTGGATTTGACATTGAAGGAATTATTGAACACGTTCGGGATTACTTTAATGAACAAAGACGCCATCAGAAACGAGTAAGCATATGGAATTATTGCAATTATAAGTGCTAAATTTCATGAATTTTTAACAAATCTCCCTATTTAGGTTATTGCTATAATTTTGTACCAAAAGCTGCAACTCAAATGCTATATATTGCTATTTGCTATATGGGCATCTGCCCACCAAATTGTTTTTCTGCGTTTAGGTCTTGGCGTTGGGTAACATTTTTGACTCTTGAAGGTTTAGTTTGTAGTAGGGTGTGGAAAAATCACATCAGGATTTTGGCACCCTATAAATAAGTAAATGTTTGTGTAATTGAATTGTTTTAGAGTCATCAAGAGTCTACAGACTCTGCTTCAAGCCCAGATTACATGTATAAGGTACAGTCAAAGTGAAATTGTATCATGAAGCCTATGAAAAGAATTGTGGAGATTTAAATTTACTGCACAATACTGTATTGATTCATTTGATTCAAAGATTCAAGCCTGTGATAATCCAAAGAGAAACTGGCCTAGTTCATGAGCCAGTTTCAGGGTTATCTCTGACAACCACCATGTTGTGGAGTACTTTTCTCAGTATCTCTTTGAGGAAAGGTTGGCTCAGCACTTCTAGGGTAAAATCTTTGGCTAACAGCTTTATTTATTTTTTATTAGGGTAAGAAGGGTCAGAAGACAAGTAACAAAACTAATCCCCCACTTCCATCCATGGTGAGGTTCTTTAATATTAGGAGCAACCTAAAYGTCCTTCAGTCCTACTAAACCCATTAAGTAATTATTATTCCTATGTACAAAAAATCAATATGTTTATATGCCATAATAGAGTAATACATTTTGATGCTCCCAAGAACATTTATGTTTGTACATTCATTCATTGTAATTATCGTAGAGTGGACAGTGTCATGATCACCTGACACTGCATGGACATCAATCCTAGAATATAAGATAGGTCCAAACTTGCCTCTTCTGTATGAATGAAACCAATCTCTCTCCATTATTGACTGATATTGCAATTGATTATGGCATTTTTTATGCTTACGTTTTTTTTGTTTGTTTTAGGGTAAGAAAACCTCAAAGTCAGGCCTTCATCAAGTCCCACCCAAGGTAAGGTTMTAAGATAGAAAAGTTTAATATTTGGGCTACMGCGAGTCTGTGTTTATGCCTGCCTATAGGGTGAATTGTAAATTATTCTGTGAAAAGATGTACTTCTAAAAGAAGCTAAAAGAACTTGTTGGTTGTAACAAATGAACACCATATAACAATTGAAAGCCAGATAGAAAGCTAAGGAGTGCAATTATCAATTATCAGAGCTAACTTCAAAGCTGCAATTTAGAATGTCACAGGAAGAATATTTTGTGTCTTCATACATTTTGCTGCTAATTTTGGCACTCACAAGTGGTGGGACTAATTAATTAATATGGAGTACAAATAAAGTTATCTTCTGATGACCATCCAAAAGAATAGCAATCAGTAATAGCTTGTGATATTAAACCACTTTGTTTATTAAGCTAGACTATTTGTATAGCCCGAGTCAGCACTCGTACTTGTGATATAATTTATTTAACACTTTTCTATTTTGACATTCAATTTTATTTCAATAGGAAATTTACAATTTTGACAAGTTTACAAATTTTAAAATCATTTTAATTCTAGACTGTCCAGGAATCTGCAAGCTTCAAAATTGGACGCTTTAGTGAAAGTGGCTCATCAGAAGATGAAGTTCCTTGTTCTCAAAGTTTTTATAAGGTAAATTTTTAATACTTATAGCAGTATTTTACAAAAGATGCAAACTCATGATCAGCCACTTTCAATGGCAAGGAAAGTTGTCACAACCATATTGAAGTGTTGTATTGGTACCATGGGATTTTGGTCACTGGCATCAATTTCAGATATCTGGCACTCTTGAACAATCATGTGAAATGGGCTTTAGTTTATAGCTTTTTTTCTTGTTTACTCTTGCAGAAAGATGAGCAATTTAGCAGTGATGAAGAAAGTGATAAGTCAGGAGACACAGTAATCCTTAATAGTGAAGAAGATGGTAAAAATGATGCAGTAAAAATTCCTGACAAACTGGCACCAAGAGTGGTAAAGCTAATTTTGAAATTAGTATGTGGCTCTGTTGTGCAAGATAGAGAACCATTGGTGAATCTTCTTGTAAACAAATTCTCTGTGCCCAAAAGAAGTCTAGTTGATGTTAATTACACAGACCTCTCTGAAGTTGTTGTAAAAAAATTTCTGAAGCAGGGCTATGTTGAAGTGAAAAATGATGTCACAGTTCCTTTTGGCAACATTATGAAGTCAGATTTGATTGTAAAAAAAGAAATACAGCTATAAGCTTCACTCAGAATATACACCGCAGTTGTCAGAAACATTATAGGTTTATAAGCCATTCATATTTGTTAAAACTGCCTTGTTGAAATACATACAAATTGTTCAATTTTACATAGAGTCAGAGTGCACATAATTTGTGAAATATTACACCAATATATATAGTTATGATATGAGATATAAATTCCTTGCTTTTCTTTTGTTGCTACAATGTGTACTTCACTATAATTATCTTCTATCAATAATATTTGTTTCAAGGATTAAGTGTACTCTGTCTATATAATGTTTAGTTAGATTTTAGCTTGATTTTATGCAGTATGTTCAATTTATTAGTTAAACAAACTAATAGAGACCAATTATGTTAGTTGTAAATGATTTAAAATACAGAAAAATGTTTGCAGAATTTGCTTATATCACTATAAGTACTTTGATTAAATGTCAAAGCACACACACCATTGTGAGTGCATGAATATTATCTACATCACTTTATTTCTTTACTTTTATATACATTTACAAATGGATTTTGTTTCATGGATTAAGTGAAGAGCTTGAATACTTTCAATTACCTGCAATTTTACCTTTGTTTTCTTTTGTTTACCAGAAATAGGATTTTGATAAGCTAATTTTGACCCCATAAAAACCCTTCAGCAATTTCAAATTGAGTAAATATATTCCAATAAATGGGATTTGGGTGGGATAATTTTGACCACATAAAAACCCAAGAATAAATTCAGATTGGGTCAATGAATCCCCATAAATGGGATTTGGATGGGATAATCTTGACCATATAAAAACCCTGAGTAAATTCAAATTGGGTCAATAAATTCCCATAATTGGGATTTGGATGGGATAATTTTGACCACATAAAAACCCTGAATAAATTCAAATTGGGTCAATAAATTCCCATAAATGGGATTTGGGTGGGATAACTTTGTCCACATAAAAACCCTGAGTAAATTCAAATTGGGTCAATAAATTCCCATAAATGGGATTTGG